TTTTTTTATCCCCCCCCCCAATTCCTACTGCTGTCATTATTTTGCAACGAGTTTGTATGTTTTATATTTTCTAATTAACGCTTATTTTGTTTGAATAAATAAAACAGTGCTTTGAGTCAAGCGCCTGAGATAGGATTAACGAGTTTCCTTTATATTATGTAGTTCATTTTAAGGATTTACCCCTCTGAGAAGTCAAACATTTCCTGTATTTTTTTTCTTATATTGATTTTTGGAAAAATGAGTTAATGGCATAGTAAAAAATGCAAAACAAATGTGTCCGTGTGTTAGTTTTTGTGCTATGATTGGTCAAAGATATTAATCTGACACAATATGGGATTTTAGGTGATTTTTTAGTTTTAACCATTTGCAGAGCAAATTTATACAATGTCTTCCAGGTGTGTTATCAGATATCTATGAATGTTCGTAGAATTGATAAAATATTATCTTCTTTTAAATTATGTAAATACAATTTCTTTATCTTGATCTTTTAACTCAGAAATGCGATTTAAGTTACCCCTACCCCTTATTTTGTAATGAAAAAGTACTAATTTTTCACCATTTTTTTGCAGATTAAACACTTGATATAAAAAGTTCTGCTATTAAACTATTTTTTAATATTTAACGAATCAAAAGAAAATGTGTTTCTCTTTCTAAAACAGCCAACAATTGAAACATTATTGTGTCCTAAAAGTGTCGAGTTGTCTGAAACACTCTCACTATAAATTATATATATATCGATATTAATAATACAATCTACGAGCAAAGGCTGTCCTCTGACTGTGTACACACTTTCAGAGGGATTCCCCTACACGGATATAATGTCTATATTTAGGTCTACCACCGTGAGTCATAATCAAAATAAACGTTATAAGTTCCATGTCATCGGGTTTTAAAGGCCTGTATATAAACCCAATCAAATATGTTATCGCCTATAACACACACACACACACACACACACACACACGGAGGAAATATAACGAGAATCACACAACAGTTGTTCTACAACATGGAAAACGAGTAAGTATTTATTTTCGACAATAACTTTTTTATGTATATTATATCATGGCGATTATCTGTGACAGGTTAACAGTGTAATATCTTAATGTTAAGAGACTTCTCAGTGCAAGGAAAACTATAGAAGATATTTATAAATGTTATCCCGCAGTTTTGAATACTGAAATACTTTGTATATATATATATATATATATATGATTGTATATGATTACAGTGATATGATAATAATTGGCCATTTACATTTTAATTATCGCGTTAAGTTCGATTCTTCATTATACTTTACCCTTTCACCTCTATGTAACTTTAGTAGACTCTACCATGTATTGATCTGGATGAGTCCATTATGATCTACAGTGGTGAAAGGGTTAATGTACTGAATCAATAACAATATATTGATTGTATTTGTAATTCATTTATTGTTATTATTGAATAATAATTAGTTATTATGATAATTTAAAATCAATAACCACGTTGTCATTATTACTTATAGAAATGGCAGGTGTCAAATATGCTTAACACATAGGGATATATCCGCTTTATGTTTGAAAGAGAAAAACATTTGATATCATTGTTAACGTTATGTTCCAATGAAAATTAGTCCTTTAGAGTCAGAGGGAAAAGTGCGAAAATAGGATATTAGAATATAACGTTTATTGTAAGTATATAAGTAACACTGCAGTGATTCCCTGTGTTGTAATAAAAAAAGTTTTCTTAGCCAGCGGCACTTATTTTAACTTATATGAAATTTATGTTATGTTGCTGATGGTTTAGTTTTGACGATCAACGTATTTGCCGGTAAAAAATGTAAAGAATAGGTCACATAAGCAACAGATTCGACCAAACACAATCCACAATACTTTGTTCATTTCGTCCGGCTATGTTGTGATCGAATATTACTTTTTTTGTTTGTAGTGAGTATAGATATCTTTTCAAGTACCTGCTGATAGGGGACCCGGGTGTAGGGAAATCCAATCTGTTACTCCGGTTCGCGGTAAGTTGACGTCGTCTTAATTCGGTCACAGTGTTATTGTTCGATTAAACAGAAAATCACACATATGATTATCTTTGCTGTTTGTAATAACTATTGAGGGGTTTCAACTGTACTGTTATAATGTATAAAGCTAATATCATTGGTGACACCGAATATCACTTCATGACATTTTCTTCCTCCTTTTTTCAGGATGATAAATTTTCAGACACGTACATCTACACTATTGGAGTAGACTTCGTAAGTTCAATTACTTTTGTCTTTGATTTCTTGCAGTTTTATAATCTGGTAAGGGAGAAAAATAGTAATTCATTCTACCTAAGACATATTCACCCGAGTATTAAATTGGTTGATTTACCACATTAATTAAGTCTGTAGAAATAATCTATTATACAGTATATATACATCAATGTGTAGGGTTCGTATTTATATACAACGTCGTGAGAACAGATCTAATTTGTATAATTTTTCAATAAAACAATTCAACGAAAGCCTCGATGACGATGAATGATATTTCTAACAATCACCAGTGTAATTAGAAAAATATCGTTTCTACATTAATTTGTAAAGGTTGATCATTTCCTTTTGTAGAAAATTCGAACAGTGAGCATTGATAACAGCGCCGTACGATTACAAGTTGTAAGTACATTTATTTACTTATTGATTGTTCCCACTCTTTAAATATTCTATTAATTAACGAGGATTATGTATGTTATACCAGTTGTTAGATCCCAGCTCCTTCTGCAAATAAATCGTAAGATAAATGCAGTACTTGGTCGTATAAAATGTGACTAGTAGTTGTCACGTTTTAAACATAAGCTAGTGACCAGTGACGTGGCAAATTCGTATCTCTTTCGATACATGTGACACACACCAGACACTCTCCTACACTTTCAGATAAATTTCATACCACTGGCACCTGAATAATACCTTACCTAGTCAATAGAAAAGCTAGTAACTACCAGGTTAATATTATACCTTGTCAACGAAACCGGGTAAATATCATAATACTTCTATTCTACCAGATACATAGCATTCCTGGTCTTTAAAACTGTGCTATTATCATTGCGATCGTTTTAGGGCAGATAAAGTCAAAGTCAACATTTCATTGCTAAATAACACTTATACCATATATTTCTCTCGAAAATGGCATTGTTTGATAAATATTTACAGTGGGACACGGCGGGACAGGAGCGATTTAAAACCATTACCTCATCATTTTACCGCGGGTCGCACGGTATTATGCTTGTCTATGACGTCACTGACATGGTAAGCAGTCAAATGTTTATATTTATAAGTTATCATTTGTTTATTTCAATAAGTTTGAAGACAAACCATTGGATCACTACGATAAATTTAGCGCTATATGTAGTATGATATAGAATTACCCTCCTTAGTAAAATAATCGGGATATGTTAAACAATAATTTCATATCAATTAATCGACTTATTAAGGGAATTTTTAAAATTGTAAAATTAATAATATACCACGTTCAGGGTTTTGAACGATCTCAAACTCCCGAGAATTCGCGAGACATTTGAATTCATCATCAACTTCTAGCGCGCATTAACGTCCATCTCACTAAATAGACAGTATTTAATGTATTTAGTGAAAGGATATCTTTATAATAATCAACGCTCTATATGTATTGAATAGAAGTGTGCGAACCTAAAACAAGTGTTATAATTTTTTTGAATTAGGAGTCCTTCCGACACGTGGAGTCATGGCTTCAGGAGGTGGACAGATACGGAGGAAAGGATAACAATTTTATTATCGTGGGGAACAAAATAGACATGACCAGTAAACGGGTGGTGACGTATGAAATGGGCAAGGTGAGTTATAAATAGAGTCGAACCTCGATAATCTAGTGACCTCTAATCTGGTTTTCCCAGTTTTACAGTCACTATTATTCCGCTGGTATTTTTTTACTTTCCAGTCACCAGGTATTTTAATATCCAGCCACCATTTGTCCGAATGTATCAGTTTACACCAATTACTAACCTAGGTTTAGTATTATCCATTTTTTAACTAATCCGTGTTTCCCACCATTCAGTTGGTACTAATCAGGTTGTTTTACTTTTACCCAAAACCCAGTCACTCCTAGCCCGGTTGTACCACTATCCCAGCCATTCTTGTACGTATCAAATTGGCTTTCCTCTATGCAAAACGGTAATTGTTTTATGACTGTTTTTCTTCCAAGTCGTCCACTATTCCAACTCCACTTTTTTTCTTTGATCAGAAATATGCTGAGAGACTTGGTATTTCGTTTATGGAGACCAGTGCCAAAACTTCAACAAACGTGGAAAATCTATTTACAACGATGGCAGAGGAAATCAAAAGCAAAATCGATAGCGGTAAACTAGATACCACACATAGAGGTGGGAAAGTGAATATTCGCAATAGTTCACCGATCAAACAATCACCGTGGGTATGTTGTGCGTGAGGAAATGGCAACATGGTAATTGCAGTGACGAGGTCGTACGTCAGTCATATGAATATAAGAAACAAATATTCATATGACTGACGTACGGCTTCATGCAAAAAGTACTCAAAACTCAATGTCATTTGGTGAAGAAAGTTGACTTTCTGAATGGAGAAACTAGTTTTTTCAAATAGG